CTATGATTTTGACTACTCTAAATACCTTGTATAAGTGGAATCATACATACAGTATTCATCTTTTTGTGACTGGAGTTATTTCACTTAATGTAATGTCCTCAAGGTTTATTTCATATTGTAGCATGTATCAGAATATCCTTCATTTTCAAGGATGACTTATATTCCACTGTGTGCATATACCACATGTTGCTTATTCATTATCTGTTGATGGACACTTGGGCTGCTTATACATTTCAGCTCCTGAGAACAGTGCTGCTATGAACGTGGATGAACAAATATCCCTTCAAGATCTTGCTTTGGTTCTTTGGATACACACCCAGAAGAATTGCTGGGTCATATGATAACTCTGATCTTTTAACTTTTTGAGGAACTGCCAGGCTGTTTTCTACAATAGCTCTGCCATTTTACATCCCTACCAACAGTCTACAGGATTCCAAATTTTCCATATTCTCATCAACACTCACTGTTTTCTGGTTTTGCCATGGGTCATCCTAATGGGCGTGAGGTGGCATCTCATAGTTTTGATTTGCATTTCTCTGATGATTAGTGATGTCAAGCAGCTTTTCATGTGCTTTGGCCATTTGTGTATCTTCTTGGGAGAAATGTCTATTTAAGTCCTTTGCCCATTTCTGAATTGGGTTGCTTGTTATTCTATGTTATTTATCAAGCCCCTAATTAATGCACACCCTGTGCTGGGCACACAACTGTGTCACCCTAATAACCCATAAGACTGTTTTTCTCATGAGAAGTCCAGGCACCCTGGCCAACATCACACAACCACAGGATAAGGACCCAGGAAACTTGGTTTCTGAGTTCTCATATGTGATTTCTGGGCTCTGCAGCCTTCTAAAGGACTCCTACCCGCCCCCCCCCCCCCGCCCCCCATCAGTTTTTTCCCAGTCCTGTCTGGTAAGCCTTGGACATTTAATTCTTCTCCACCACCTGAATGGTCACTTGGGGTCAAAAAAGAGCCATAAGGGTTGAAGGCAAGGTGGCCTCTCAGAGAGTTGCTAAGGGCCCTACCTGGGAGGCAGCCTATAGTGCTATAAATGTAGGATACTTGGGGGTCCTGTTTCCCACGAGGGCCAGAAACAGCTCTTCTGTTTGTTCCATTCAATGTATTCTCTGCAAGGAATTTCACTGGGAACACAGAAGACACAGCCATAAAACTTTAAGACGTGTGAGCAGTTATTTTGAGGATAATGTGTCTTGAGGACTCTACGCCCAGACAAATTAAAAAATAAGCGGGTTTCCAACAACTAAGGATGGGCCAATCTCTGAGGTTATTGAGTAAAAAGTCAACACTGTAAAGTCAATTACACTATTGACAGATACTCTTACAAGGAGATTTCACATCATAATTATATGCAAAGGAACCCAGCAAATACAAGCTGTGTAATGATCAGCTAATAAAAGTAACACTTCTTCTATGTCAATAACAGTTTCAGAGTTAGGACAAACAAACATGGCCTTTGCCACTCAGTGGTGGGGAAAAAAAAATCCCTGAAAGACAAATATTTTCACTTAAGGAGAAGTCACTTAGACTCACATAGAAAACCTGTCGCACAAAGCAGAGTAGGAAATTGGTCTTTAGTGGGTGCTAATGACTCTCTGGTCCTCCCTCTGTCCCTGGCTGAACTGATGGGGGCAGTGACGTAAACACTGAACAACCCCAGGATCCCTTGGGGACTGTCACGGGTCTGGCAGACATCTGCTATTGTTTTAGTCTCCTGTGGGCTATTTTCCTTTTCATCTGAGCTGAATTCAGGTTCAACTGACACATGGTCAAATTAAAAAAAAAGTTAAATTACAATGAATGGAAAGAGCAAAACAAGATTCGCACCCCCCCCCGCCCCCCGCCCCCTGGAACACTCATTAGTGGGTTTTAGACAGACATCAATTCCTCAGATACCTCCATGGCTATGTTTATGTTTATTCTTTCTGAAAGCATCTCAGTGCCTATTATTTGCCGGGCATTTGGGACATTTAAGAAGGCAAAGTATTTATTATGAGCAAGGGTCCTTGACCTTACAGAGAACATGCAACACTCCTCTCCCTCCTTCATTTCTCCTAAAACTGAGGTGGAACTGGTATTTGGACAATGCATTGGTAATGCGCAATGGTTTTCTTTACTGGTTATCTCGTCCTTAGGGTAACCTGTCTAGTTTTTGCAGCAGTTCTGCATTTATTGAACATTTCTCTGACGCTCAGGAGGGTCCCTCTGAGACCACGCGTGCTTTCATAGTGGACAGACACGTGCCATTTTGAAGCTACTGTCACTCAGCCTCAAACCCACCCTTTTACAGTGTTTCAAAGGCTGTGGCTGGGGCTGGGCTGTGCAAGCCACACGTTAGGCTGCGAGAATAGGAGGTGCCACGGAAAGTCTGGGAAGGGGGTGGAGGAAGAAAGCGTATGCTCCTTCTTGTGTGTGTCCTGTTCACTCGTAGTGGCAGTTCATTCCTGTTGTAGCTGCTGAATCCAGCTGTGGGCCTCCTAACGCTTCTAGAACCAACTTCTTCATGTTTCCTTAGAGGGCTTGGACCAGCAGGAGATCTCCTAAGACCCCTCTGGTCCTTCCACAGATCGCTCCTCTGCGATCAGAGACTCTAGCCACGGTTAAGGGTACCCCTCAGAGGTCTAGATCCCTGCCCCCAGCTCCTCTTCTGAGGTCTCAGCCCCACCCCCACAGGGCAACCATCCCAACCGCTTCCCTTTCTTCTCTTAGCCCGAGGGGATGGGGCTCCTTCCAGTGACCACCCTCTCCAGGACACCTGGAGTTCTCTTTTCACCTTTCCAGTTACCTGGTTAATAACTTCCTACCTGGTTAATTGTTCTTAACATAACCGTCTCCCTGTTTGAATACCTAGTGTGATTTCTGCCTCCTGACTGCACCTGGAACTGTTTTGTGGTCTTTTACTGTGGAAGAGCCAAAGTGAGGTGCTCACTGAACCGGACTGCATAAGTGGCAGCTCTTTAACCAGAAACAAGACTTCATTGTTTTGCTGTGGTGGTTTGTTATATTCTAACCAGAACATAACCAGAAAAAAAAATATTTTAAATAATGCCTCTTGGGACTACTAATCAGTAAAATTATGATACTTTACACTACGAGGGTATAGTAAAAATTATATTACGGGGTGACTCCCACTGAAGGCCAACGTGGTCTCAGGTCTCTCCCACCATGTTCTGGCTCTTCTGTACCTTCTACGAGGAGCGGCTGAAGCCACATCCAGATCCACGTGGCAGGCACTGAAAGACTGCTCAACACAACAACCTGAAATCTACACTTAGAACATGCTAATGAACATGGATTGTTGCTCCCCATGAATACAGTCTACAATCTCAAAGTCTGGCCAACCAAAAAGGTAAGCTAGGAGGTAAGCAGAAAAGATGTTAAGGAGGAACAGAATATGGAATATGTCTCTCTCATAATGTGAGGCAAAGGCATTGATACTTTGGCTTCGTCAAGAGGCTTATCATTTAAGAACTAAAGAACTATTGATCTACAGACAACCAAGAAAGATCCTAGAGAAGTATAATAGAGAGACCCTTCCATATAGTTTTGGAAAGTATCATCATGTTGGGCTAGCAGAAATGAAAAGTGGTTTTCTAACTCTATTACTATTCTAATTCCAACCAAATTCTTTTCTTATCAGGTCCTAGACACCAGTGTCTGCCCGGAAGACTGAGGGACTTCCATCCTGAGATGGAAGAGAAGGCTGGTTTCTCTCAAGAGAAGGCTGGTTTGCCGGAAGAGTGAGTGGGAAAGCGCCACATCGTTGCTTCACATGAGTGAGCTTGACGTGGTATCTCCCTCAGGCCCCAGCTAACAGACTTTCTGGGGTGGTTTGCTCTGGGACATGACACACTATGAAAGAAAAATGGCCTTCAGGTGCAAACTTAATCTAGAAGTGCCGAGTGAGCAAGGAGATGATGCTGTGGAGGGGCACAGCTCAGGGTGATGGGCCTTCCCAGCAAGAGCCTGGGCAAACCTGAGGAGGCATCAGCCAAGTGAGACTCAGCCCCTGTCTATGGCAAGCGAACCATAGACGACACAGGTGGATACAGAGGAATTTTACTACACAGAGTCACCCATTAAAGGGCCACAACCAAAATATGGGGGCTTTCAAAGGAAAGGGAAATTCATCCAGGGTTACCTCAGAGGCCATGCTCAGAAAAGCTTTGTGAAGCAATCATTTTTGTGATGGACCCTGAAGGAGGTACCTGTGGAGGCTGAGGGAAGTCTACACAGAGGCAACCGAATGGATAAGATGGGCCAATACCGGACATATCTGGGGAACAGATTTGGTTCGAGGAGACAGGAGGACAGGGGTAATGTCAGGCTGATGTGTGGGAGCCATGGAAGGTGTTTCTGCAGCCAGCTGGAGAGGCACATTTTAGGAAGTCAGTCTGGAAGTGGCTGATGGGTGGGTGGGAATGGGCAGAGAAGCAGCAGGAGAATGGGAGGCAGCATCCACACTGGCACATGTGAAAGGTCTAAGCTAGCGAGAGACCCTAATCCAGGGCCGGCAGTGGAGATAAGAAGGATGGAAGAAGGAAATTTCCCAAGGAAGGGTTCATGTGGTTTGGCAACTGACCTGATTCTTGGAAGCAGGGGAATGAATACCACCTGTTATTTTTATCCCACTTACCGAAGGCACTTTTCACACATGATTTTGCATTTCATTTTAGTGGCAGACCAGTTAGCCTAGAATCTAATGAACAACTTGCTCACCACTTCCTTCTACCCACCTTGCCCCACCTTCTTACAAAAAAAAAAAAAAAAAATCTTAATTTGTCTTCATCTCCTCATCTGGAAAGAGATCAAGATAATTTGAGCCCAGAAGGCGAAGCCAGATTGGAGTCACTTTGCCTTTTCTCAACACCCAAACCAGGTTTATTTGTCTTCACTCCTTAGAGGCTGGTCCTCTGCATCCCAGGTGGCCCCGTGGGACACATGATGCCCTTCCTACTCCTTGCCCAGTGAGTGCCTCCCTTACCTCACAGCTGCCGTCATTCCAATGGGAGTGATTGGCAACGGCCGAACTCCAGGAAACAGCCCGCGGCTCAGAACACGTGCTCCATTTTGTATCACTCCTGGAGGAACTGGAAAAACAAAAAGAGAAGAAGATGCCACACATGAATTCAACTGTGAAGCTTTCTGTTTTGAGTCAGAAATTTTGGATACACCAGAAAGAGAGAAAGAGAGAAAGGGAGAGAGAGAAAGGGATTATTATAGGCACAGAGAGTGAGCAGCGACAGAGACACACAAACACACACACACACACACACACACACACACGCATGCTCACAGGAGGGGAAAGAAAGATGCCACGCCTCAAGAAAGAGATTCGGTCAGCCATGTCAGACCAATACCTTACAATGAAATTATTGATGCACTGGTTTAAAAAAGGGTGAGTTTTGAAAAGCAGGCTTCAAACATTACTTTCTTGCATTTATTAAATATAAGCCTTTATTTCCAGTCAGACCCTAACAAGATCTTGAGAACACTAACCCAAGTCGAGTAGCAATGACCAAACAAAACCATTTCGTCATGCTTCTCTGGTCATGGTCAGAAGCTGAGAACATCTTTCTATTTGTCCTTAACCCAACAAGAGAGGCAAAAGAATAGCAAAGCTGATTTTATAAGCTGCTTGGCACTTCAGTGCTCACAACACCGTGTGTGTTCACAATATCTCTGCCGCCCAAGGAAGGACCCTTCCTCAGCATGGCTGCGAGTGGACAGCGGGCTGGGTTGCTCTGGCTCCTGTCTTAGAACCACGGACAGCCCACTCTGGAGGGCCCAGTGCCTCCTTCCTTGAAGCTTCCCCAAAGCAAATCTCCTGAGAGTTCTCTTGCCATCCCGCCTTCTCCTACACACACACATCCCTGGTGCAATCGTGAGCCGAATTTTTGACAGTGACCATCAGATCATGTCAGTTTCCATACAAACCCACAGTGGCCTCACCCCTATATGAGGATTTACATGACAGGGGAACCACAGGACACGCCCAGTTGTCCTTCTTTTACGACCTCCTGGACAGCGGTTTCATTAGGTTCAAGGCAACATTCTTACTGTACGACCACTTGTCCGTGTGTCTACAGGGCCAGGCACGCGTCGTGAAGCACTGAGGCAGGGCTTGGAGTCTTAGATTTCATTTCAGTTTCTCTGGAGTGACTTTGTGCAAGTTACTGAAACCCTTTCTTCCTTCTCTGAACAGCGTCCTAGGAACCTGTCTGCCATCAGCGTCCTAAGTCCCCAGAGCTCTGGCTGGGTCCCTGGGGGGCCCTTGTCTCATCCAGAGACAAGGTAGATAAATCCTGCCTTATCAAACAAAGGCCATGTCAAAAAAGGCTCTAGAAAATCGTACATTCAAACCCTTCTGGATATTAAGTTTTAAAGTCAGTTTTATTTATGTAGAACACTCTTTAAAAAACACAGACTCTTTACTCCTGTGATGTTTAGGCCTCTAAGGACACGTTTCCATAAATATTCCAGACCTTGAACTAGAGTCTTCCATGCAGGATGGATGCTCACTCCTGAATACAGATAATGTTATATAGACCAATTCCCAGAAAATTCTGTGGCTCTTGCTAGTATTTCCACTATTTCTCTTCCAGGTTTATGTAAGGCCCTTGCTACTGAGTTTGATAAAGGGTGGATAGGAGGCAAAACCCAACGCCAAAACCAGTACTACTAATGCAGCCCAGGGGTCCAGAATCTTTCTGTTCTCTTACCATATTTAACTGTGACAGTCGGCTGAACGAGATCAGGACTCTTACCCGCCCCTGATTACCAGCCTGATTTCAGATAGATCATCTGAGACAGGAGATACTTGGTATCTCAAAGCATGAAACCTGTTATAATGTCATAGTGGAGGTAAGTATCCTATTTTGCTTAGTTGATGAGTTCTAAAGAAGAGTATCTACAATTTCTATTAACTGATCTACATTACGCATTTCAAGACCTCCCCCACAGCTACAAGACAGAGTGGTATTGGTGTAAACACAGACACACAGATCAAGGAAGAAAACAGAATCCAGAAATAGGCCCATAAATACGTGGCCAACAGACCTTTGGCAGAGGTAGCCAGACAACACAACGGGGGCGGGGGGAGGGTGGTGGCGGTTACAACAACTGGCGCTCCATTCAGGAAAAAAATGAGCCTCGGTCCCTTACCTCATGCCATACACAGAAGTTCATTAGAAATGGATCATCATGTACATGTAAGGATTAAAATGATAAGACTTTTAGAAGAAAATATCGGAGGAAAAATCTCACTAATTCCCAAGGACAGGCACGCAGAAATCATTAGGACGCTAGAGTCTGTAGACAGGTGCTTTGGGTTGTTTGAAAAGAGAGGCTTTTTGTTCGCCTGTCTGTCTTGGAGACTGTGGGAAAGGGTTTTCAGTTATCCTGCTGTACGGTAGGTAGTCTCTTTGAAATGGTCATAAACGACAGGCTTACTCCCATTCTGATCAAACTAGTGAGGATTTCTGTCACTGGGATCTCATCTAGAACACAGAGCAAATCTGATAGAAAGGACTACTTGTTAAAATCACTTAAATACTTAAAATCTGGGGCGCCTTGGTGGCTCAGTCGGTTAAGAGTCCAACTTTGGCTCAGGTCATGATCTCACGGTTCGTGGGTTTGGGCCCCGTGTCGGGCTCTGTGCTGACAGCTAGCTCAGAGTCTGGAACCTGCTTCGGATTCTGTGTCTCCCTCTCTCTCTGACCCTCCCCTGCTCACGCTGTATCTCTCTTTCTCTCTCAGAAAGAAATAAAAACATAAAAAAAGAGAGTAAATACTTAAAACCTATACCATAGTTATAATTCTTGCCAGCAAAATTAGTACAGTATCACATAGACTATATCGATAAATGGATTAACATACCAAGTACCTGCTTATGTATTCCATGTAGGGGACACACCAGCTCACCACAGCTAAGTGGGACAGACGGAGAATTAGAGAGGCAATGGAAATATACTATGGCGAGAGGCCTATAGGCATGAAGGACGGAGACGCCTAACCTGAAGAAGGGTATCTGGGAAGACTTCCTGTGAACTCCAATCGGAGTTGGCATTCAAAGGCAGAGGAATGAGAAATACAAGGCCTGGAAGTAATAAAAATTACAATGTGCACGAGAACAAAAACTGGTTTAGCTAAAGCATACGGTCCTCTGCAGGGAGGAGGAGTGTTTGGGCTTCATCCCATGGATGTGGGGAAAACCATTAGAGGGTTCTGAGCAGGGAAATGGTCTGCAGCACGGTTGATGAGAGCCAGACTCTGATGTTGGAGGGGCCTAACACCATCTCTGCATCCCATCTCTGGGTCTGCATCCCATCTCTGTCATTTACTGCCTGGGTCCCCTGAGCAAGCCACTTCAGAGGATGGGGACAGAAATGGTATTTATCTCACAGAGCGGAGATTTAGCTGAGTTATTAAAGGCACTACTATTATAGAAAATATATCTTAGTCGTTGTCATCATAAACAAAATCAACACCCCCTGAGCACCCTGAGGCAGCCTCCATTACAGGTGAGCCCAAAGTCCGTAAGAACAGAACAGGACAGGGGTGCCTGGGTGGCTCAGTCGGTTAAGCATCCGACTTCGGCTCAGGTCATGATCACACGGTTTGTGGGCTCGAGCCCCGCGTCAGGCTCTGTGGTGACAGCTAGCTCAGAGCCTGGAGCCTGCTTCAGATTCTGTATCTCCCTCTCTCTCTGACCCTCCTCTGCTCATGCTGTCTCTCTCTCAGAAATAAAAATTAGGAAAAAAAAAAAAAAAAAGAACAGAACAGGACAAACCCAGACCATGGTGGAAGAACGTAGCCATCTTCCTGGTCACAGAACATAGCTGGAAGAGCAATGACAGCTCTTATGGCGCTTCTGTTCCCATGTCGGAGTCACCCCTGTGGGAAATGCCTGGAACGCCTAAATTCCTGGGACAAAGACTGGGGCACGCTGGAAAGTGAAGACAGCAGATGGGAGTCATAGAGCACAGGTTCTCTGGACTCTGGGCATGGCCAGGGAGTCATCTGCCTGCCAAAGAGAAAACCAAGCCCAAGGACACTGGCCCAAGCCCAGAATCTTCTGCCCAAGAGCCTAGAACTGTTACGCCCCAAGGGCATGCCCAGCACGGAGGGAACAAAGAAAGGAAACCAGTCCTCAGTGAGCACGGACTGGGGACGAGTGTCTTTTGCTGCTTCTCACCTCATCTCAGCCTCCAGGGAAGAAGTGCTCTGCGGTGGTTAAGAGTGCAAGCTCAGGGCAACATGGCCTCTGTCCACCCCAAAGCCTTGCCTCACCACGAGCTCTGCAGCTTTGGGCAAGTGCATTATGCCTCAGTTTCCTCGCCTGCAAACTCGGCATAAACACAGCTCATAGGAATGTTGTTGAATATGAAATAAGACGACTGATATAAATTGCTTAGCTCAGCGGCCGGTCCATCGTATAAGCTCGCCATCACCATCTTGTTCATCCTTACTATCCCATGCCATCTCTCTGCCTTCCTCTTGCTAATTATAACGAACAGGGCCTAAGGGGGAAATTCTTCCAGACTTTTTTGCTTTGGAGATATCCCCACCTCCGCCTTTGCCCACATCGTCCTGATTAATGAAGTGTATTCACTTCAAAGAGAATCTCCCGGACAAAGCTGTCCCGCAGCACTAACAAGCTTTCCCTGAGCCGTTTCCTGAACCTCACAGACTTCTGGCACAGAAACCAGGCTCTTCTCCTGACTCCTGGAGTTTGCTCTCAAATGAGCTGCAACCGAACGCTGCTTCTGCAAACCAACCCTGGCACTCCTCAGTCCTTATCACTGGTGGTGCTCTTCATGTTGGGATGGCGATGTGTTCCTATTTGCTCACCGGCTGCCAGAAGCCAGCTGTGACACTTAACCACCCTCCCCTATTTCCTCCTTCCTGTCTCCATCCCTGAGCGTCAGGAACGTGGCTTCTGGAAAACGAATCGCAGCCAGTCTAAAATGTCTGTGAGGGCTATATTGAACTAATTTTTGATTCTGGGGACTCCGAGGGAGCAAGAATCCATTCCTCAACTGGTTTCCTATCGGCACGGTCTAGCTTTCCCTTCCTCTTCCTCCTGTGTTGCCCTCAGGGTGAATCAGAATACCTAGAGACGGAGCCTGTCCCACCCAACGCATTGAAATTGTACTGAAATTGTACCATGGCTCCAGCCCTCCCGTGGAGAGGAGGACAGTGAGAAACTGGATATGCCTGTGGCTGTCACTTCAAGGGGCACAGGCCTCCAGCAACCCTCCTTTTCTGTAAGATCAGTTCAACGTCCAGCTTTTATACATGAGAAGATGCATCTCTGAGATTCTCGAGTTGCTGGGACGAGGCGCCAAGGACAGGGGCCCCAGGGCTCCCACTTCTTGCTGATCACGCCCTTTCTCTAATAGTGTGGTCACTCCAAGACTACTTATTTTTAACAAGAAAGTAACATACACACAAAGAGAACTGAACCAGGCAGCACCGCTCACCGTGATCTAAGTGTGATCACCTGGAGGACCCAAGAAAAATGTCTAAGGCACAAGACACACTTGCCTCCATTCTGCCACCCTCAGCACATCTCCATCCGAGCCTCCCCAGCCTCCCCAGCCTCCCCAGCCTCCTTGATTTTTCACGGCTTCTAAAAGTAACCTCTGAGCTCCTGCTGCCTTTGGAGGGCAGCCCTGGCTGACGCTACCAGAGACCATAAGCTGAGCAGCAAGCGCTTCCAATCATCCTTCCCATTCCTGAAGTGGGACGTTCCACCTGCTTACTTGGAGAGAAGCAGGGGAGGGGGCTGGAATGGGGGAGCCTCCACCGAGGTCGTCTTTCTTCTCCAGCGCCTGGTGTGTTGGACACACAATCTAGTTCCAGGGGTGTGTGGAACGCTGCCTCCTTCCCTCTCCTCTGCAGTCCCATTTTTGTTGTTTTGTTTATTATTCCAGAGTTCCTCTCTGGGAGCGTTCCAACTAGGGATTACATAAGCCTCTGAAGGTGAGTAATGGTGATCTGACTTCCTAACAATCCCTCCATTGGGGCTAAAGATGACTCACAGGGCTTGTCAGAGGGGAACAGCAAAGCAGGTACTTAAGCAGAATCTAGAAACTGGGACTAGTCTATGTAGCCACTTTTATGGGGGGGGGTCAGGTGGATGGATCTGGAAGCATAATCCAAAGTTTAAGAGGTCATGAGGCAGCAATGTCCTGTGCTGAATTTGCTAGAAGTAGTGTCCTATAGCGCATGCAAGACACAACAGCACACCTTCTAGAATGTTCCCCATGCTGCAAAGTGGCAAAGTCTGGAGAAGATCACGTCATCGCTGGGGCTCCTGGGCGTGGGGGTGGGGACAAAATGTTGAAGCCTGTGGTTTTCATTAAATGCACTCAGCTGCCTCATTGAAAGTGAAGCCTCAGGTTGCCAGGAGAGACTGATGGGACTCAGAAGGAGCCAGCTCAAGTAATACAAGGGGCAGCGTCTGGGGGAGGCTGAGCTCCCTTGAGGCTCTGCGGGACCCCTCAAAAATAAAGGGGCTTGGCTGACTGGGATTCTCACCAGTTCCTTGAGAAGTTTCTTTTATACCATCTACTTAGCTTGGACTAGGGATGGGGGCTGGTGTGCCAGCCCCGGGCCAGCTTGGCAGGTGCCAGGTGCAGGGAAGGAGAGGAAATAATCGACATGGCTGCTGAATGGTGACCTTAAGTGGGGTGGCTACAAAGGTTGATGGCAAAGGAAAAACCTTTCAAGCCGCCCAAGCCAGGCTCTTACTGTTGGAAGTGACAGCAGCAGACAGACTCGGCTGGTGGCCCCTGTTCAAGCTGCATCATGCAGCCCAGGAGGGGAAAACAAGGGGCCATAAATAGTGCATGAGGAGGCTCTGTAAACAGAGCTCGGCCACAGCCCAGCCCAGGGGGCTGAACACAGGCAGCTCCCCATGCGTGGGCAGAGGGATGGCTGACCGCTGCGCACACAATCCACACGGGGACACACGCGCACAGACAACACGAGGCAAACTGCCTGCCCTCTGCCACTGTGGCTGGGTGTCTGCTGCCTCTGAACCTTGTTGGTGAGGAATCACCACCTACTCTTTCCAGGCTTCGGGCGAAGCTGGTGGGGCAGGGGGATGGGGGCTGCATCACGAAAAGTCTTTACCCCTTCTCCCTTTGGGGTGCCAGGCACTCACCGAAACCCAGGAAAAGAAACAGGCAACATAAAATAAGAACAAGGGGAGGGTGAGGAAGAGGGAAGCCGAGAAATGCTAAGAGAAGATCAACCTCCCCCCCAACGCCCCCCGACTCCAGGCTGACCAGTGGCCTCCTGGCTTCCCACGTGCACACCACAGACACTCAATGAATGTTCACTTCTTTCCTAAAGTCCTGTTCGCATCTTCAGGGCTTTGCTCTGGCCTGTTGACCATGCACTAGCTTGACCACGAGGGGATTTTATTAGAGACTGGGGCCAGACGGGACGGAGAATATGAAGGTGGTGATCCTACCGTCTCCCTAGCCTTTACATGTCCTCTTGGCAGCTCTTGCCAATGGGCCACCCTTTCCATGACTTTTGTGGGCTTCCTGGTTCCTTCCTTCTAGGACCCTGGAGCCCTCTCCTTGGCCTGGGGCTTTTACGATGGCTGGGCCAAGGCTTGATTTCTCACAGTGCTAAGACTGAGGCAGGAAGAAAGCCTTCTGAGCATGCCCTACAGCTTTGACACGTAAACACGGATCTTTTGAAACTCAAATTCAGCATTTCCATGCAAGTAAGACTATGGATACCCTGAAAAAAGAATTATTTATCGCTTGGGCGTTATAGTGAGGGAGTGGGGAGAAGTTCATTTAGCCATGAAAACATCAAAAACCGTTAGCCTGTCAACAAATCAAGATCAATCTGGTTTCTCTTCTAACCTGTGCTCAAGAATCCACTAATAATGGACTTCATGGAGGCTGCCAGGGATCTGTTAATACCCAATCCCCCTGCCTCTTTCCCTCTTAATTCCATCATTCTGGTTCATCAAAAGCATTTCCTTACGCCAGCGATCCCTGTGCACAGTGGCCGGGTGCTAAGGAAGATGCTCCCGAATCTTCCACGGCTCTGATGAAAAATGTACGTTTTCCTCATGTTAAGCCATGCAACCTGATTCTCAAAACCACTGCAGACTCTAACGTGGTTACAATCTGTCTGTGCTCTTCCTGCAATGTCAACTGAGAACGGAGTTTTTTCTTTTGTTTTCAATTTCTCTGCAACTTCAAACATCATTTAAAAACCACATTACAGGCTAACTGCTAGTTACTGGACTGTACCAGTTACACGAGTGCTTAGCAGTGATATTTGCGTCTCGGAGGTGTGGGCAGCCTCTAATACTCCAGCTGCTGGCAATCTGAGATTAGCAAGAAAGAAAGGGAATGCCACATCTTTTGGAGCAGGTAACGGCAGTTCCTGACAGAGGGATGGGTCTCTCCTGAGAAGACGTGGCCACATCTCTCGGGTCTTTTGAAAGAAGGAAGCAGAAAAATAGAATCAAATTCCCCAAAGCTCTGGGGAAGGCTGTGCCCAGTGGAGGGCTATGAAGGATGGTCTGGAACTCCACATCGGTCAATTGTTAACAAAAGCACCCAAATATGAAGGTGGGGGATTCCCTGACTCAGGATGCCAGGTAGCCCCCAATGAGCTGAAGGTCCAGCCCCAAGAATGAGCCTGCTGGGCACTAGACCCTGGAAAGTGTCATGCTGGCGTCTGCAGATCCCCAATCAGTGTGTTTAGTCAACAGGAGGCTGCAAGGCAGCAACGTCCTGAGCAGATCCCAGTAAGTGAGCTGGCTTCCGCTCAACAGGGTCCTGGTTGGGGGTGAAGTGTGGCCTGGGGAGCTAGCTTCAAGTAGAAGAGGAGGGGGGCAGACAGATATCTCCATTTAAGGTCATTTTCCATCACTCAGGAAGAAGACCTTTCTAAGGTGTAGCTCAGAGGTGGTAAAAAACACAATAGAAGAGAAGTTCAAGGAAGGAAAAGTGCTATTTCAAGCTTCACATTACTCAGTGGCCAAAAGCCGGTGAAGACAGGAGCCCTGCTTGGCTAAATTAGCCTGGCCCTTCTCTATGACAGCTTAGAAGGCTGGTGGGGATGGGGCGGGAGGCACCATGATGGTTCGTTTCAAGGCTACTTCAAGTTCCTGCATATCCACCTTGCCAGACTTTCCTCTTCTCTCTAGCTATAAAATGGCAGCCTGCTATTAATGAGGTCCCAAAGGGGAAAGAAATTTCTAAAAATGGGCACTGCTCTGTTCCGTAACGGTTAAGCTGGCCCCACAAAACCTTTTCTAGCAGAAACTACAAACTCACAGGAACTATTCCTAGAGGAGAAAGGAAGTTCTCTCTGTGGGGATTCATTATAGGGTCTGCTTCCCTTCCCCCAAGTCTTAAGCCCTGAAATTATATTAAAACTTTGTCATCTTGGAAACACACCTATGCTTTCATTCACACATAGGCGTGGCCGCATGTCTGTAGGCATATGCATGTAATCACGCACTCAGGTTATGTTTTAAAGTGATTCTATAAGGGAAGTTCTATTTGAGCATTAGTTCTTCCTATGGCCTGGTATATAAATGAGAAGGTTAAGTTCACGAACTACGGTGCTGTAGGCTATAGAAACATCTACTCACAACCTGCTTGTATCTCAGGGGGAGTATTCAAAAGCATCATGGCACTGGCAGCATCAATGTCAGGATCTGGAAAAATCAACCAATAAATAACATTATTTACAACGGGGCCGGTGTCTGTGTGTGTTTTTTCCCCCTGCAAGTTACAGTTTATGAAAGCAACAGAGAAAAAAAACAATCTGGGAACAAGATGAGCTGTCCCAAAGGTGACTTTCTTCCCATTTGCACTTGAGAGGAAGAAAGGTATTCTAGAATGAGATGTAAGGGGCAGGTTAGTAAGTTTCTCAGACAAAGCATGGTCCTTCCTCATTTTGCTAATTTCATAATCTGGACTGTATGTTCCTGATAAGTTGCTGATCTATGCACCCCTACAGCTTGCTCGCCTGGCATGGAGGAGTAGGGTGATAACGGGACATTTAGCTGTAGGAGTCTTTGATGAACTGCCGAAGCTCACAGCACCGAAAAGAGAAAGCCCTAAATATACCTGCGTCTAGTGAGATACAAACAAGACATCGGGTCATTTCCATCTGTCAGCAGAATGTAAATTGTACTTTATGAGATGGTGTGTGTGCACACAGTGGTGGTAGAGGTAATGAAGGCATTAAACACACACACACACACACACACACACACACTTAATATATAAAGAAAACATTAAAGTTATGGTGTTGAGGTTTGCTTTCACATCTATTACTGCTTTTAATATGGGACAAAAAAAATACTCATCACCTTGCTGCTATAATTCTTAATAGGTTTCTGAATCCTTACTGATCCACCAGTTGACAGATGGCAGGTTATATAGAGACAGAGGAAAAAATATTATCCCTTTATAACTAAATTCATTTTCCTCTGAGAAACAGCAGCGCTGCTGCTATGGAAATGAAAGTCACCATGGCAACAGTAAACAACCCCCAAGAATGGTCACTGAATAGGCTGAAAAGAACATCTGCCCCAGCGCAGCATCCCAGCTGCCCTGGGGCGAAATTCGCTAATAGTGCAGTGATGCTGCGTGACAGAAGCTGCCGCCTGTGCCCTGTCCAAATAAATGAAGTGTGCAATTGAAGTCGACATCAAAATGCCTGCCCTTGCAGATTACTACCTCTGCGTCCGCTAAACCCAATGACTAATGATGGGGGGGGGTGGAAATCAGGGGCGCTCGCACTTGTCAGTTTTTGTACAAATTACACACCAAAAAATTCAATTTACTACTAATGGCTCCATGGCACTTTATTTTGGGTATTATGCTAGGAAATGACTTTTTTACTGTTTTAAAAAAGTACATTTTTCATACTTCATATGTGCAGTTTAATTCCAAGGGAGTAATGTGATACTGTATAAAGCCCCACAAGCGATTAATAATATGGATGACGCTGGTTCGAGAAGACAATGTCTCAAAAAAATGGGGGGAGGGGAGAAAAACTTCTTTACAGGCTGGTTTCGATTTCGCCTGCAGGAGGCCCGTTACTTATACTCTATAATGGAGTGAAGGTTTATTTTCATAGGATATTGTATGAGGAATAGGTAAATTAACTTATTTGGCAACTCATGGGGTAAAGTTTCTAAAACAGCCATCGCCCCCACTGATATTAAAAAACATATATATAGTAGTCGCACTGAAAGACTGAAGGTCCCATTCATGGTCCCCGTCTCCGCACACAGCGTGTTGCCAAAAAGCAGGTCTAGTAGCTTCTGGAAGGTTTTTTGGAGGTACTGAGGTCTTCTCCCATTTCCTCTTTTTGGAAAGGGCCCCTTCCTCTTTCAGGGTGGAGAAAACACACCTGTTTCTTGGGAGAGCAAATGTTCTTTGCCATCTTTGAGGACAGAGCTGCTGCCAGCCACCGGGCTTGGCCTGGCCACCCGGCCCTGGCCTCCGCAGGCAACTCTTACCCGGACTTTTCCTCAACAACCAGGAGGTTCGATGGGGACAGATGGAGCAAGAGGAAATACGGGTAAAATGTCAGGAGTCTTTTCCTGTTTATTTTCCCAGAAAATTAAAGAAAGTAGTTCTTTATTCTTCAAAAACACATGACCACAGGAGGAAGGTACAAAGGGCCACAGATAAAAGACAAAAGGTAAAGAAATGAGAAAGAGAATCTTGAGGAAAAAGAGCATCAACACTCAGGCGAACTTCGCGGAACCGAAGAGGCAACTTGGGAAGTGCTTCAGGCCCACAAAGCATCACCTCGACCACCATCCCCGCCCCATCTGAGCCAAATAAACACAGCGACTAATTCAGGACAAGTCCCCCCAATGCTTCCTTCTGACCGAGCAGACGTGCCACACCCAAGGCCACCTTGGCCTCCGGGAAGGTGCCACACCCTGTCTTGTCAATATCTTATTCGTAATCAATTCCCAGGGACCTACTCTGCATTCTGAATGGCTCCCTTCCTGGGTGCATAACCCTGAACGTGCAACCCTGGGGGCAGAATGGGAGGGAGGGGGAGGCATGGGGTGCTTTCTTGACATCCTAGCAGCTGCACCAGCATGAGAAAACATAATTATGTGTTTACTGCATGCACACTGGCATCACGGTGCCCACCGCCCCCCCCCCCCCCCCCCCCCCCCCCGTTCCCTGGAGGGACGCAGGGAGTGCCACCTTCGGTGTACGGTTTGCCACATTTCACACCAGCGCTACCATCACCAGCATCAAGACGACAGCACAACAGAGACACAGGTCTCCATCACCCCAAAGTTTCCTTGTGTTCCATTTGCAGTCACACCCACCTCTGCCCCGGACAACTCCTGGTTTGCTTCCTATGATCCACCTGATGTGGTGGCAGTAGCTCATTCCTTACCACTTCCATCACCGTGTACTATTCCGCTCTAAAGACAGAGCCACATCTTGCTTCTCCATCTGCCTGTGGATGGTCATTTCGGCTGTTTCCAGCTTGGGATCTTATAAAAGAAGCTCCTAGGAGTTTTTGCATTATTTTCACTTCCCTTGGGTAACTGCTGGGAAGTGCATGTTTTTTCCCCCCAAATGTTTCTTTCTTTTGAGGGAGAGAGACAGAGAGCATAAGCAGGGGAGAGGCAGGGGGAGAGGGAGAGAGAATCCCAGGCAGGTTCTGAACTGATAGTGGGAGCCGGATCCCACAAATTTTGAGATCATGACCTAAGCCGAAATCAAGAGTATGCTGTTCAACCAAATGACCCGCCCAGGTGTCCCAAGTGCAAGTTTAACTTTATAGGAGACTAACAGACTCTCTTCCAAAGAGGCTGTCCCCATGTGTGAGAACCCCAGGCATTCCACACTTTAGTCAATACTTGAAGCTGTCAAGCTTTTAAAATTTTACCCACCTTTTAAATACAGGTGGTCATTCACTGTGGTTTTAATTTTTATTTCCCTAATGACAAATGACCCTGGGCATCTCTTCATGGGCTTAAAGGCCAGTGGTGTATCTTCCTTGGTGAAAATTCTGTTCAAGTTTGTGCCCATGGCTTAATTAGGTTGTTTAACTTATTACTGAATTGTAAAGCTCCCTAAACATTCTGGATAGATGTCCTTTGTGAGAAATATATTTTCCTCAGTGCATGGCCTATTTAGTTTCTTAATAGTGTCTGTTAATTAAGCAGAAGTTCCACATTTTTAGGAAGTCCCATTTATGAATTTCTTTCACAATAAATGTTTCTTGTGTGTGTGCCCCAACTAGGGAATTTTTGCCTACCCTAAAGTTGCAATGATTTCTCTCCTGAGCAGTTTCTATTTTAGTCTCATGTGTGAGGGTAACACTATCTGGGTTCAATACTCAGATTTACAGGTAATGCAAATGGAAATCATCAACCAGAACTCTTTTTTCATCCAGTAAGCTGGTGAAGAACAGACCTCTCATAACTGTACAGATCAATACCGGAAGGACCTGCTTTGGTTCCTGGTGCATTGTGGGAAAACCAGGCAGCCGGAGAAAGGCTTGTCTCTCAGACCTGGTGTGAAGCAGCTGACATGCCTTTACGATGGTCACACCCTGACACCCTGGGTGTGCTTCAGAGCTGACAACCTGTCACTCTCCCCTCTACAGAGATGCTATGATGCTCGTTCCTATCTACTATTATTGTCTAAGTTTTCTTCCCCTTCAAAAAAGATCGTGAAGGTAGTGCGTGCTCTCTGTAAGAAACTAGACACGAGGTGGGTCTAATTTGCGAAAGAAATGTCTTCCCCATAGACCCATTCCCCAGAATCCCATTTTCTCCTACATATGTGCAGAAGTTGTCTATACAAATGCAGACATTTAGACACATTCACTGAAATACCAACAGACCTATATACATACTCGTGCACACGCCTCTATTCTTCAAAGATGGATTTGTATGGAAAATACTTTTCTGCAATTTTTTTCTTCAAGTTTTCACTAGATAACACATCCTGGCAACCTTTCTTATTAGCATCCATTATCTGAGGCCTTCTGTGGTGACTTTTTCATGTGTAAAAACACACCACACTGTTGGTACTGACATTCTCCCCTCTTTGGGCTGCTGACTCTCAGAGGGCAAAAGCAAAACATCTCTAACTTGTGCTCAGCACACCGCTTCTCCCTACAAATCCTGAGCCCCTGAAGGCAGGACCTCAGCACGACAAGCCCCTCCTCCTTCCCTGGGCACCCCTTCCTAAGAGGACGTGGGATGGCCCATTCCTCTCCTCCTCTGCCTGCTCACAGCTCTTGCTTCCTCGACCTCTCTCTGGGGGCTCACCCCGACTTGCTACCTTAGGTAATGTGTTTTCTGAGACCACATTGGGGGTCTCCCTGAAAGATTCAATTCTCTGTGGTCAGGAGAGACCAGTGATGGTTTACATCTTTAGGTAGCAGAGAGGCTTACTGATGGAAGTATTATTCAACAGGACACTTTTGATCCAAGTTTTTTGGCTGGAAGGTTTTTGGCAAATGAGCAACTGTTTGGGGGAGGGGATGGTCTCCTCTGGAGGCATGACTGATTCTGAAGGATAAAAGATACAAGACTAGATGGAGGGGCGGGTGAACAGTGAGTTGACTGCACAGGAGATTCCCTGGGCTTAAAAGAGAGGTTTTCTTCCCCTAAGTGGTTCAATCCAGCTTATCAGCATAAGAAAAGAGAAA